TATAAATTTTGGTGCGTAGAATCCTAAACAATTCCTACTTTTTCGATGAGACTTCTCAATCAAAAGTTATAGACTAGAAACCAATTTCGAAAGAAAATTCAAAGGGGTGTAACTTTTGAACTAGTAGCCCAATCGTGGAATTGTTTGAAATTATGGATTCTACAGGCCACATTCTATGAGAAAATTTTTTTTCCGGATCGATCTGAGACAATTTTTTTTTCGTGCCTTAAAAAAGGCAGTGTACAACCTTCCTTTTTTACCAAAAATCGACTGCACCAAAATTTCTCGGGAAAACACTTTTTCTTATTAATTTTGGTGCGTAGAATCCCAAACAATTCGTACTTTTTCGATCAGACTTCTCAATCAAAAGTTATAGACTAGAAACCAATTTCGAAAGAAAATTCAAAGGGCTGTAACTTTTGAACTAGTAGCCCAATCTTGGAACTGTTTGAAATTATGGATTCTACAGGCCACATTCTATAAGAAAATTTTTTTCCGTGTCGATCTGAGACAATTTTTTTTTCGGGGCTCAAAAAAAGGCAGTGTATAACCTTCCTTTTTTACCAAAAATCGACTGCACCAAAATTTCTCGGGAAAACACTTTTTCTTATTAATTTTGGTGCGTAGAATCCAAAACAATTCGTACTTTTTCGATCAGACTTCTCAATCAAAAGTTATAGACTAGAAACCAATTTCGAAAAAAATTCAAAGGGCTGTAACTTTTGAACTAGTAGCCCAATCTTGGAACTGTTTGAAATTATGGATTCTACAGGCCACATTCTATAAGAAAATTTTTTTCCGGGTCGATCTGAGACAATTTTTTTTTGAGGGCCTCAAAAAAAGGCAGTGTACAACCTTCCTTTTTTACCAAAAATCGACTGCACCAAAATTTCTCGGGAAAACACTTTTTCTTATTAATTTTGGAGCGTAGAATCCAAAACAATTCGTACTTTTTCGATCAGACTTCTCAATCAAAGTTATAGACTAGAAACCAATTTCGAAAAAAAATTCAAAGGGCTGTAACTTTTGAACTAGTAGCCCAATCTTGGAACTGTTTGAAATTATGGATTCTACGGGCCACATTCTATAAGAAAATTTTTTTTCCGGGTCGATCTGAGACAATTTTTTTTTCGGGGCTCAAAAAAAGGCAGTGTACAACCTTCCTTTTTTACCAAAAAAATCGACTACACCAAAATTTCTCGGGAAAACACTTTTTCTTATTAATTTGGGTGCGTAGAATCCAAATCAATTCGTACTTTTTCGATCAGACTTCTCAATCAAAAGTTATAGACTAGAAACCAATTTCGAAAAAAAATTCAAAGGGCTGTAACTTTTGAACTAGTAGCTCAATCTTCGAACTGATTGAAATTATGGATTTTACAGGTCACATTCTAAAAGAAAAATTGGTAGTCTATTATGGATTGCTAATTACCGCTAAAGGCTACAAAATCTCTAGAAAACTGCTAAAGGCTCTTACAGCTTATCTTTTAGACCTTTTACTGTTCGTCCGTTAAGGGAATTTTAAAAATTACGTTAGATCTGTTTCCTTGACGTCTCTGAGATATTTGTAACCATTAAAAGCTCCTTACGACCCTTGAAAACTCTTTAAGGGGTTTAGAGGTTCAAAGAGGATTGAAAGCTCTTAGATGCATTACAGGTTTATATAAAGGTTCAAATCTGAAATATCCGATTATCATGAAAGCTCTATAAATGTCTAGTTAGTTAATGAGATCAATGAGACTCCTGCTTATTACTCTTCGAACACCATTACTTTAATGATCTTTAATGACGCCTAAAAGACCCTTTGCCAGTTCGTCTCTTTAGGCTTGAAAAGAGAGTCCTAAATACCCTTAAAGTACCAATAAAAACTATTAAATACTGTAGCGAATATTCCAGATATCCCGATAGACATCGTGGGGCAATGAAAGATGAGTCATCGGCGATAAAGAACGAAGGCTAAAATATTTCCGAGAAATATGACGTGTTTGTTCTAGAACATTCTGAAGCGTCCTTGAGCACTCGACATGCTATATAAGCAAATCCTAGAGCAAATCGAATTAGAAACGTCGCTGTAAGTTTGTTGCCGTCTTTGCATCGGCATGAGGCGTCGCTTGGCTTCGAAAAAGCGTCTCTCTACAGCATCCAGAGAAGACTCTCTTAATTTTTTAGAAGCTGATAAGGCTCTTAAGTATCCCCTAGGTATTTTACAATACACCACTCCCTTTGGGGAGTGTTTTGGGATTATTAAATACTTTTGGAGACTGTTGAAAGCTCATGTGAACTTTTCAAGTCCTTTAAGGTGTTCTTCTTTAATGAAGCTCCCCTAGAGTATCCTCCTCGGGGGAAACAACTTTGAATTGTTGGTCTACACCCCTCTGAATTAATTAGAATTAACGTGAATTAATTACAATTGACATGAATTAATTTGAATTTTCGTGAATGAATTTGAATTTACGTTAATTAATTTGAATTAGCGTGAATTAACATGAATTAACGTAAATTAATTTGAATTTGAATGTTTAGGGTACACCAAAAATTGTACTTGTTCTCCTTAAGAAAAATTCGTTTCTAAAAAATCATCGATTCCTGAAAAAATTGCCCTTATAAATCCCCAGAAAATTCGCTGCAGGAAATTTGGTTGCGCTTATAAAATCGCCTTTGGAATTTTTCATTCCTAAAGGCTTGTTCCCGGAAAAGTTTCTCACTGGAGATATTCGCTATAGAAAAATTCTCATCCTGAAAATGTAGCCTCGAGAAAATCACTACTGTGTTTGATCTTCAAAGACTTGTTCCCGGAAAATTTCTCCTGGGAAAATTCTCTATGGAAAAATTCGCTTCCGGAAAATGTAGGCTTCAAAAAGTCGCCCTGGCGATAGGCGCAGTGGAAAATTATTTCCTGGAATAATTGTATTCTTGTCCTGAAAATTTAAACACAAAACGAAAACTTTTCCCTGGAATACGTGCGTGGCAAATTTGCCCCCAGAAAATTTAGTCGCGAAAAAATTTCCGTTGGAATATTTGACCCACAAACACTCGTCCTGACAAAATTTGCCCTGGGAAATTCGTTTCTCGAAAATCGCCGATTCCTGTAAAAAAAATCGCCCTTAGAATCTACCTGAAAATTCGCTAGGAAAAATCGCTCTCATAAAAAAGGCTCGTAAAAATCTACCTTCGCTAGAATACTTGCGTGAATAATTCCGGAAAATTCGATGCGCTCTAAAAATCGCCCCTGGTATATTTGACTCCTAAAGGCTAGTCCTCCGAAAAAAATATACGAGACAAATTCGCTATGAAAAAATCGCCTTTTTAAAATGCTTCCGTGTAAGATTCAACCCGTAAATTCATACAGGGAATATTCGCCTCTACGAATTTTCCTCCCGTAATATTTGCGTGACAATTCAACTCATGTATAAAAAATCGCATAAGCCGCAGTGCAATTGTCACTTTGACAGCGGCAAAAGTTACCTGCAACTTTTCCAGCGACAAATGCACTAGAGGTTTTTTCACTTATTCATTTTCGAACCAATTATCGCATTATCCTTTCCCATATGATTAGTTTGACGTTTGTCAATAATTGACTAATTTGGTGAATTTCTTGTTCGTTAAATTGTCCTGCCGAATTACACTCGAGGTTAGTATTTAAACCGAGTAAATTTGGGTTGTTGCAATTCAAATCTGTTTCCTTTTAGCAATTGAACTCGAAAAACTGTCAACCTAAAAATGCTCCACCTTCGGTGTCGCATTTTTATTAGTTGACAGTTTTTCTCGTCTAATTGCTAGGCAACAGATTTTCATTACCTTAACAACCCAAATTTACTCGGTAAAATACAAACCTCTTGTGCAATTATAAGTGAAAATTTCACCCCCAATTTTCGGGAGGGTTCTTCCTGGAAAACTTCTTTCGTAAAAAATTCGCCCACCGAATAAAGTCGTCCTTGGAATATTTGACTCCCAAAAACTACAAGAAAAATTGTTCTGGGAAAATTCGCTGTGGAAAAATTCTCTTCCGAAAAATTTACCTAGGGAAAATGTAGGCTCCCAAAATTGCCCTTGAAACATTCGTCCAAAAAAGGAAATTCATCTACAGAAAATGTTGAAAAAATCATCTTTCGAATCTTTCTACTCCCCCCGGAAACTTGCGTGGAAAACTTGTCCCCAGAAACGTAAAACAATCGCCCTTGAAATATTTGACCCACAAAAATTATCCCCTCAAAATTCGTCTTGTGAATATTTGTCGTGGAAAAATTCATTTCCAGAAAATTCGCATACGGAGAATTTAGCCTCTATCAAAATAGGCCTTGGAATATTTGGCACTTAAAATCTCCGAAAAATTCGCCCTGGGGAAATTCTCTATGGAAAAATTATCGTCTTGAAAATTTGAGATTGATAAATTTGCTCTTGGAAAATTTTTCCCTGGTATACTTGTGTAAAAAATTTGTCCCCAGAAAGAATCCGCCGTTATTTTACTCGCAAACTCTAGTCCTGGTAAAAATTTGCCTTGGAAAAATTCTAGATGAAAACAACTTTGAATGTTTGGTGCACACCCCTCTGTGTTAATTTGAACTAACGTGAATTAATTATAATTAACGAGAATTAATGTCAATTAACGTGATTCCATTTGAATTAACGTAAATTAATTTGAATTTAGTGAATTAACTTGAATAAACGTGAATTAACATGAATTTACGTGAATTATTTTGAATTTGAATTTTTGGTGTAGGTACACTAAAAATGTTACTTGTTTCCCCCTAGGTATCCCCCAGGAGTTTATGGTAAATTGTAGTCGTCTTTAAAGGCTCTTGAGTTTTAAAACTTTGACTACAAAGCTCTTAAGGGCTGCCACTGGGTCGGAATTTTATATTATTCCTTAAATTGGGGAGTTTCCTTCCTTATTAGTCTATTTGTGGATTTCATTTCACGCCCACTTCGTTTCCGTGAACTTTCGTCGCCCGGACGGGTCAAGGCGAAAAGTAGGCGTCCGCCGCTGTCGTCCCGCTGTCATGCTTGTCACGCTAATCGCCATAGCTCTCGTTCTGGAGACGCGCGGTCGCGAATTAACAGAGTCCGACTACGAAGAGGGTGGCATTAACTTCGCCTACCTCGGCCGACGGATATTCGGAAAGCCGAACGAAGAATCGGGCCGTAACGTCGCCGCCTGGACTCCCGGCTATCGGGAGAATCCCGAATTCCTCGGCACATACGCCGAGGGCGATATACTCTTCGGGCCGCAGCGTTTGCGCAGTGCCGTAAAATCGGAATCGAGACGATGGGTGCATGGGATCGTACCGTACGTGTTCAGCTCGAAGTTTTGGTTCTTTCAGAGGTTCATGGTGTGGAGAGCGATGGCGGCCTTCCATCGGGAGACGTGTATCAGGTCAGGCGGGCTTTCTCTTAACCATAAGTTCAGCTTCAGTTCAGATTTGTAGAGCGTTCGGATCGGGATCGAGACTACGTGCTGTTCATCTCGCAGCATTGGGGTTGCTATTCCAGCATTGGTCGCGTGGGAGGTAAACAGGTTGTCAATTTGCAAAGGCCAGGCTGCCTGAGGAGCGGGACGATCATTCACGAGTTGATGCACGTCATCGGATTCGCGCACGAGCAGTCGCGTTTCGATCGGGACAAATTCATCAATATTTCTTATGAGAACGTGCATCCCAGTAAGAATTGGGTTTCTTTGGTCACTAATCCAGGTCGAACTTTTGCAGATATGACCAGCCAATTCGATATGTCACCGAAGCAGGACTTTACCGATTTGGACGAGCCGTACGACTTTGGCTCCATCATGCACTACTCCTCGTATGCGTTCACGTGGAACGGGCTCATGACGATGATTCCCCTCGTAAGTGAGCAAGTCAAACGTAAACCCAATGCACCCGACCATTTCAGGATGGAGTTACGAAATTGGGACGCGCCCATTACTTTAGCCCTATAGACATCATTAAGGTGAACAAGTTATACCAGTGCGCACGATCAAGCACTTAGTTTTGGTTAATCCTTGCCTTTAAGATCTACATAATTGTATTGAGGATAATAGGTTATGGTAGAATATAGAAACACTTAGAAACTGCTGAAGTCTTATGCAGTGGATTCGAGACTTTTAAACGCCTTTAAGTCCCGAAGGGCCCCAAAGACCGTTGAACGGTCTTAAATGCTCTCTCTCTCTCTCTTGCATTAAAGAACTTGAAGTCCCTTAGAGGCCGGTATAGACACCCAATTGCTTTTAAACACTCGGCACTTAGGGACCATTAAAAGCTAAACTTCTCGTCCAGAAGACCTCTTAAAGGTAAAAAAAAACAAACTCGAACGGCTTTTGAACCTTCCCACTATTCCGATGAGTCCGAAAAACTGATACAGCTTCTGATAGGTATCTAACGATGTCCATGAACTTGGCAGGCCTACTACAGCAGACCATGGCTCTGCTTACTCATATCGTTAGTGTTCCGTTAGTGCACGTTAGTGCCGCTGAAGAAATCGTTAGTGCACAAAAGGAAACTATTGGAAAAATATTGGTGGGTCTGCTAACTTCATGCCAGCAGACCCATTTGAGAAAATCGATTCAATCTTTACACTAGTTAAACTAGCAGCGTTAGTGCTCGTTAGTGACGCCAATATAAACGTAAGTGCTCAAAGTGTAACAGCTCAAAACGTTGTAAAAAGGGGTCTGCTAACTTCATGCAGCAGACCCACATTGGTTAAATTGGCTCTGTCCTAATGCGAATTTGAAGCGGCTCGTTAGTGCTCGTTAGTGCTTCACATGCGAACGTTAGTGCTGCAAGGAATCCGCGTCAAAAAGGTACCAAACCACCTCAAAATTGACCGGCCAACTTTATGCCAGTAGACCAATGAACGAGATCCGTTTGATTTTCTACTTTAATCGACCGGTAAGTATTAGTGCTCGTTAGTGCCGCCAATATAAACGTTAGTGCTCAAAGTGTAACAGCTGAAAACGTTGTAAAAAGGGGTCTGCTAACTTCATGCAGCAGACGCAAATTTGTCAAATTGGCCCTGTCCTAATGCGAATTTGAAGCGGCTCGTTAGTGCTTCACATTCGAACGTTAGTGCTGCAAGAGATCCTCACCAAAAAGGTACCAAACCACCCCAAAATTAAACGTGGCTTATTGGGACCTGCCAACTTCACGCCGGTAGACCAACAAACGAAATCCGTTTGATTTTCTACTTTAATTGATTGATCAGTATTAGTGATCGTTAGTGTCGCAAAAAGCCCAAAGCGCAAGAGCTCAAGCGTGAAATTATGGGTTTGCTAAATTCATGCAGCAAGCCCACATTTATTAAAGTAGTCCTGTCTTAATGCGAATCTGAAGCTCCTCGTTAGTGCTCGTTAGGACTTCACTTGTACACGTCAGAAATAGAAACCAGAGCTAATAAAGACATCACTAATTTAATCGTTATATAGTTTTTCACAAAGCAAACTCATATTTTCACATCTAGAGCTGTTGTGCTTTGAGCACTAACGCTTTTTTTTGCGACACTAACGATCACTAATACTGATCAATCAATTAAAGTAGAAAACCAAACGGATTTCGTTTGTTGGTATACCGGCGTGAAGTTGGCAGGTCCCAATAAGCCATGTTTAATTTTGGGGTGGTTTAGTACCTTTTTGGTGAGGATCTCTTGCAGCACTAACGTTCGAATGTGAAGCCGCTTTAAATTCGCATTAGAACAGGGCCAAATTGACAAATGTGCGTCTGCTGCATGAAGTTAGCAGACCCCTTTTTACAACGTTTTGAGCTATTACACTTGGAGCACTAACGTTTATATTGGCGGCACTAACGAGCACTAATACTTACCGGTCGATTAAAGTAGAAAATCAAACGAATTTCGTTCGTTGGTCTACTGGCGTGAAGTTGGCAGGTCCCAATAAGCCAAGTTTAATTTTGAGGTGGTTTGGTACCTTTTTGGTGCGGATCCTTTGCAGCACTAACGTTCGCATGTGAAACACTAACGACCACTAACGAGCTGCTTCAAATCCGCATTAGCACAGGGCCAATTTGACAAATGTGGGTCTGCTGCATGAAGTTAGCAGACCCCTTTTTACAACGTTTTGAGTTGTTACACTTTGAGAACTAACGTTTATATTGGCGGCACTAACGAGCACTAACGCTGCTAGTTTAACTAGTGTAAAGATTGAATCGATTTTCTCAAATGGGTCTGCTGGCATGAAGTTAGCAGGCCCACAAATATTTTTTAAAAATAGTAAGTTTCCTTTTGTGTACTAACGATTTCTTCAGCAGTACTAACGTGCACTAACGGAACACTAATGATATTAGTAAGCAGAACCATGGTCTGCTGTAGTAGGCCTGCCTAGTTCATGGACATTATCTAACGCTATTAGAGAATTTTAAAAGCCCTTAAAAGGGCACCAGTTATTTTTCAGTCTCATAGGAACAACTAACTATTGACTCTTAGATACCCTTAAAATCTCGCATGTACGTTAGAATGGTATGAGAGCAAGTACAGGGTGTCCCATTTTCAACATTTTTACAGGGTTTTCTAATTAAATTATAATTTGTGATTTCAAAAACTCAATAAAAACAAGGATTTTTTCATTAGCAACTAAAAAAACGTTATATGTAAGCATAGAACTTTTTTTGATTTGCTTGAACGCTTTGGTTTTTCTTCTTTGTACTATTTGAAATGAATAATTTGTCATTTTTTAGGAGTAGCGTAGGTTTTCAATATGGCATCTATCTTTTACTACCCTGCTTTTTTCACTCGGATTATTTAACTTATATGGAAGTCTATCCAATATTCTACTAACTTCTATTTGCAATAATAATAATGAGAAAAAATTGCACTTGCATCACAAAACACGGTCACTCCTTAGTTACGTGACTGGGAAATCCCTTTTACCAAAGCTTCGAACTTGCACCACAAACAAGGTCACTCTTTAGTTACCTCGGCAGATAAATCCTTTTTCAAGACGCCTGTCATGAAAACCCTAAACCCAACACATGCCTTTAGAAGACGATTATCAACCTGAAAATTAAGGGGGGTAAAGGCCTGGGGAAAGCGGCGTAGGTTCTGGAAGAAGCAGACAGGTGCTCCCAGTAACCTAGGGACCAAAGCTCGGTTCCATTGGTCCTGATGCTCGGGCGACAATGTCCGACTTAAATACAAAAACCACTAAAGTCGTAATGGAGGAGTCGCTACCTCCAACCACCACCGATCAAGGCCTGTCCGACATCGAGAGGACCTTATTGGCCTTTGACGAAGACACTAGCCTAGACCCTCCCTCCGAAGAAACACCTGAGGACTGCAAATTTTCGGGTAACAAAGCCTCAGAAGAGACAAGCTATAGAGGACATGCAATTAAAGGTCACTTCATCAAGTAAAACTTTGTGGAGCAGCTCGCAAGCGGTTCAATAAACTAATAGGTGCTGGACATAACCCAAACGAGACTAGGATCATGGCTGCAAAGTCAAGCAACACCCAACAAAAGCCTCAGGAGGGCCAGCAGGCTCAAGGCTCAGTGGTAAAGCGTTGGGCTGCCTAGCCGGAGGTCGGGTGTTCGAACCTGGGCTGAGGAAAGAATTTTTTATCTGTGGCAGACCAGTTTCGAGCATTCTGATGGCTACTTCTGAAAGTTTTATTAATTCGTAAGCACCTCTAAAAAGCATTAATTTATGCGGGTCAGTCTGTAATTGAGCGGAAGCCTGTTGAAGGCCCAGAACAAGAGAGAGACTATAAATAAATAAAGAAAGAAAGATAGAAAGAAAGAAAAAAGAACTAAAGAAAGAAAGAAATAAACAGTTAGTAGTTCTGTCCCCAGATGGGAACGCAGATAATTCCCTTAAAAAAAACCCGTCCTCATCTCCACATCTTCTTGAGCCAAGGAGGAAGGCGGAGGCGCCTCCACACCTCCAAAGAAAACCTTTCAGGACGCTGTCCAGGGCATCAAGGTGGGATCTTCTCGACAAAACATGGTCAGGAGAAAGAACGGATCCCCTCATTCTGCATCATTTGGATAATAGCTTGACCTCCTCCTTTCCTAGCAGGCAGAATAGTGGGATGGAGGGTGTCTGACGAGTTGTGCATGTACGAGGAGTTAATGAAAAGCATTACCGCAGGCCTCTGCAGGAGGGTGATGGATCAAGTTGACCTAGAGCGACTTGCTACATTCCTCGCTGATGCCCTTTTCTTCTCGTTTGAAATTCCCGTATCCTCTCGCCTACGGAAGGTGCTCTCAAAGGAGAAGAACAACCCTTTGGGAATGATGGTGGAGGCAGATGGTGACCGTGCTCAGCTAGAGAGTATTTGCAGCTCTTGAGGGGAACCCATTTCGCGGGACAAGAGGCTAACTTGGAAGCCTCACATCACCATGGCGGTCAACAAGGCCACTACGGCCTTAATGAGCTGTCGACGCCTCAATAACCTCCAAGATGCTTATGGAAGAAATAACCAGGCGTAATTAGTGTGGGTACTAATTCACGAGGGGATAGCCGGTAATGAGGAGGCTAAGGTCGGCACTAAACATCCCCAAATTGGACCGGAACCCCACTGTGGAGCACCACCAAGTCTAGCTGGAGGAGTGAAAAGAAGTCATCTCAGAAAAGGAAGGAGAGAATCTTCCCCAGGACTAAGACAATCCAAGAAACTGATCGGTTTCCAGGAGACCAAAACCGGCTCGCTGCTAGCACTCAGCAGAGGTGAACTAACGGCATCTGCTTTGAGGAGGAAGAGACGGCAGAACACCTCATCTGATTGGTGAGACTGTCACCGGACCTGGGTGAGGCTGCAATAGCACCTCAGCAGATCAGGGAGTTGCAGCCGGAAAAGATCCTCAGATTTTTCAACAAAACTGCCTCCCTCGGAGTAAGATGCTAGGGGCAAGCACAATAGACCAAAGGGTCAAAGTGGATCCATACTTGGGACTTAAGGCGGCAGAGTCAGATTACAGCTTTTCAAGCTGCTTAGAAGGTGTTTGTTCCTTCACTTTTAAGTGAAATCGAGTACAGTCTAATAAAACTACGTCAGGCGT